ACTCGCTCGGCTCATTCAAAATGTGGAGGCTATTAGCCACCACCCATTCGCTTAATGCCTCACCTCGACTGTGGCTTTGGTATCCAGACGAATGCCGGGATACCTTGCTAAACCACATCGAGGACGAGGCATTCGCATCCAGCCCTAGGATAAATGGGCTACTACTCGCAAGTAGTAGTAGCTTATCCATGTAGCCGAGGTAGGGCTCTAGGGGCTCGCTATATTTACAATATAAACTAGCGACAATCATCCTACCGAACTCCCCTTCTACAGCTACACATATACCCAGTTGTGAAGGGGGATAAGTAAGACTTATATCAAGTGTATGTGTATGCGTGTATTCTTGTGTATATTCGGATGTATATTGTGCCATATGAAGTTTTTTCAAGCGCCCACGCTTATAATGCCTAAATATATTTTTAGAAGCATTATATTATCAATGCAGGCATTTATTTATGTAATCATGGGTAAAATGCTGTTGGAAATGCATATAATTTTATGTTTATTTATGTGTGCATGGTTCGTATTATCTCAGCATATTCAATGACTTGTATGTTCGAAGACATTTGAACAGGTTATTTATTTTTAATAACATTTCTATATTTTTAAAATACATCTCTTAAGAGAATAAATTACAATTTTTCGAAGAATTAATTAACTACTAACGTGTCTAATTCAGCTTTTTATGTTCGCTGCACACTATTGAGTATTATATTTGGCCTAACTTTGGTAGCAAGCTAATGATTTGAATTCATGGGTTACATGACATATGTGGAAAGTCAAAATATTTTTTTCTGGAACTAATTCATATGTAATTCGCTAACAAATTCATGACAAAATCACCATCACAACACAGGCACAACAGCAAGCCTTAACTTGATATGATATATACTCACCACATACTCGCACCCAAAGTTTCTCACGTACAGGCAACCACTGCTCCGCAAGACCAATTATTTACTGGCACACATAGAATTTTGCCAAAATCAGTTTGTACACAAAATCAAATTTATATACCAGTAAGTATACCGAAGTAGGTAATTGACATTCATTGTCCTTGTTAGTTGCTGCGGCTTGATTGCCATGTTGCGGCATACTTTGTTGTTGTTGTGAAAACACGCCTCTGTCACAACACACGCCCCAATGGCAGTGGTGATACTTTCTGTCACACACTTTTGTTTTATGCCCGTTGTTTGGGCAGCAAATAAATTCGCTTGTTGGATTAATACTAATAATAGCACATAATAATAACAATCATTGTTCGGTGCTTGTAGCATTGAGAGATTAAGGCCGAAATTTCGTCACGAATACAGCGCTATATAGTGTCCGCTCTCTCTAAATGAGGTTACATTTCAAGTAAATCATATTAAAAATACGACAAATTTCGGTTTAGCCATGTGAAGGGTTTATTTTTCCCTAATTTAATTTCCGAACGAACAAACTCGGCAGCCACAACTAGTTTGCGCTATACGACCGCGAGGGGTGCGTGGTTAAGGTGGCCGCACACTCTATTTCATTTGTTGTAGATTATTTATGTTGCGTATACGACGTGGCGCACATCAACTGCGGTTTAGAGTGTTTCTTTCACTTAGCGTACTTTTCTTGCCGGCATTGATTTAATTTGTTATTTTCTGGTTAATTCTTTCATAGATTCGTTGACATTGTAGTCGACGCCACCGTAAACAGACTGCAACACTGAGCGCGCGAAGTCTTTACAAGGTAAGCTAATGATTTGTTATTATGTTCAAATGGAGCAAGTTTAAGATAAGATGTTGAAATTAGTATTTAATATTATTTGAAAGTACCGCTCTGAAAGCCCGGATAATGAAATAATCTGTTGTGTTAAAGTATATAAACATACACACAATTACCTTGTTTTCATTCTTAGCCATAAACATCAATACATTTTAAAGAAGCAATGTCATTTATAAACTTATAGTGGTTTAATATACGATTAGACAAAATTCTTAGAAAGTTTTATAAGAAAGTTCATCAAGTGTACAGGTGTTTCCTGTGCCAAATCAAATATGCAGTATTCTTCTTAGCCCACTCGGCTGCTAAGCCTCCATTAAACTTATTGGCATTTAAGAGCGCAGTCGTCTCCTTTTTCATTCTAAAGTTATGTACTTCTTCTTTACTTTGCTCTTTAGCACGAAAGTCTAGGCTATGGCGGCCACTAGAGCTGCATAATCATAACAAGTTTTAATTACGTGCCAGCATTTCTATCAAGTCAATTTGCTGCGCGTTATTTGTGCAGCGCGCCTAATTAGTTTAGCAAGAAAATAGTTGTAAAACTTGTTGTCACCAGAAGAAGGTGAAAAACGACGCAAAATAATTAAATACTACTACAGAGAAGTTTTTGTTGTAAGCAGCAATATTTTTTTATCTTAAATGGAAGAAATTGCTGAGAAATGGTAGTTAGAAGTGGCAAGGTCTAGACTAAGAGGCGGGTGAGGAAAAACTTCTCAGCCGATAATTTCCAAATAGTTTTTTACTTCTCTTGCAATTAGAGATCGAGCTGTATCATGTCGGTCAAATATGACCTTGTACCTAGCCGCAAATCGTTCGCACCAATTTGTTGAGTTGTTGTAGCGTTCCCCAATAATACTCTTTTCCCACAAAATGCAAAACATTACCGTGGTATAATGGATATTCGGCTTTATTGTTGATTTTCTTTCTTTTGGTGCGTATATTTTCAAACGTTTTCAAATTGCTTACTGAGTGACTTTTAAACTTCAGCGAACTAATATTGTGTTTGTCCCTTTCACCAAAGCATGGAAACCACTTTCTCCACGTTCAAAAATAACTTTTCAGGCACAAAGTTCGACATATGTATGTATGTATTTGAGGGAAAAAATATTCTTGTTGTTGATGCTTTAAACGAATGCGATATTCTGAAAACGATGTATAAGGACAGTTGCTTCCAACGAATGTTCGGAATATTGGAATAATAATCAAATTAGCAAACTGTCAGAATATAGTTTAACAGGGTTTGTCCGGAAAGGAATAGTACTAAGTCGATTTAAAAAAATATATTAAACCCAGCTTTAAAATTCTTTAAAAACCTTCAAAAATAGGCTCCTTCTGCGTCGATGCAGTGCTGCCAAACACTGAAGGCGTCACGGAAGGCATTCTCTGGGGTGAGAGCCGAGGTCATCGATCTTTGGTTGGTTAGGTAGCTGTTCACAAGAAAGGCGGTGTGATTCGGGGCGTTGTCGTGGTACAACTTCCAACCGGCTGCGATGTCTTGTCCACAGGTTTAACAATTGGGCAATTAAACGAAAACTTAGTCGATGGTCTGAGTTCAAAAGTTTGCACAAACGTGTCACGTTGTCGGTGTGTGTTGAAGTCGCACATCTCAAAGGACGGTGTTCATCAGCGACCTCTTCTCGGCCCTCAAAAAAGGCCTCATGCCACCAAAACACATCACTTCTTGCTAAAGCAACCTTTGGGTAAGCCTGCTTGATCATTTCAAACATCTCTGTCGCAGATTTACCGAGTTTCACACAGAATTTAATTGTGTATCTCAGCTCTAACGGGCTTGCACCACTCACAGTAGCTCGGAAACAACTGACCAGCCGCTTGGTCGTTAGCTAAGAACGCTCTCTACTGTCAGTCGGAAGACGCACGCTCCGAAGTACAGCCGCGACTGAAGAAAATTCGTCCTATTACTTCCAGGACAAACCCTGTATACGCAATAGTTTAACGATTATTAAACTAAACAGATTTACCGTGTTTTAACGAAACTTGGTACATACCAACTTGCAGCTATTCAGAATAATAATTAGAACAAAGTGGTTGAATATTTATCTATAGATATAGTAGCGAAGCGAGTTTTTTGGGATCTCTAAAGAAGAGCTCTATATTACAAGCTCCTTTATTGGTATTTTTTAAATATATAAATAACAATACGTATGTATGTACATATATCGATCAAAATATTTAAACGGTAGGTACAGAATTTGTATCTACGACTTGAATTTTTCATTTCGGATAGGAAAGGAAGAAACATAGTATGAAACAAAAATAACACAGGTACGATCTTATAAACATGATGAGACAAGAGCGTCTACTGGTCTATACTGATCTTGCTTCAAACATTAGCAAAAATATAAATTTGACTGAAGATGAAATTGTTCAATAATAATAAAAATAAAAAAAAGTCAATAATTAAAAAAGGATTGGAAGTCAAATAAACTCGGTATATTTTCTATTTGTAAGGTGAAATTTTATTATATAATTGGCTTCCGAGGATAATGTGAATGAACTGTTTTAATTGTACCTTGTGCTTTTCCTTAAAGATATGTTAAATGTAATCTAGAAACACCATTAATTTTGAACCTCGTTCTTTTCGGCCCCCAAAGGGGATTTGAACACGAATTGATCATATTCGGTTCACAATAAGTATTAAAGAATATTCAATCTGATTCTTACAAGTTGCGAAAGTACGTATACTTTATTAGATACCTATATATTAGATACCGATTTGTCCTCAATAAAAATCAACACAGTTTACAGTCATAATATTAATGTTTAACCTCAAGCACGCACGATTATGTCTTAGGGCAACACTTATAAATGTCGTCCCAAAATGAGCGAAAAATTTCAATTTGCCGTCGTCTAACATACATATGTAGTAAAGTGTCGACAACCCTAATATAAATAAAATCATAGGCTGCTATTTGGTGAACGGTGGTAACTTTACGGTGTCCAAGTAGAAGAGGAAGGCGGCAACCAACTTGAGTGGACACATTATAACAATTTAAATAACGAGTGACCATGAAACTGTTACAAGTTAATTTGCATCCACCACAAGTTCGCCGAAGGCACTTTTTGAGTGGGAACAACAAAGATAAAAATGCAAAATAAAAAGTGAAATCCCACAAAGAGGTCAACAAGTAAAATTTAGCGGCGCACAAAAATGCTCAGTGTGGTCGGCACGTGCTCGCTGCCCAAAACTAGACATCCGAAAATGGCAATTGTCCACGGCAGCAATTGTTTCTGCATGCCTATTGTCCTTTTTTCAGACAAACGCTTGAAATGTCAACCGAGTGACATGGCCAAGTGCACCAGTAATGTTTTGGGTCACTCGCCCTTTTTAACGTCCATTTTTCCTTTCCTCTCTTTTCAATTTTAAATTTGTTTTATTGTTGCTTTGCTTCTGTGGGTATGGTCCTGAGAATGGCTAGCATTTGTCGGTATTAACTACTGATGTGCTATTACTTCAATGACTTTTGCTGTGAGCAGTTCGACTGGTGGTCGTTCATTGAAGTGCTTAATTAATAATTTTCTCGGAAGCTTGCATGTGTGATTATTTATGTGGTTATAAATTAATCGAATAAATCAAAGTCTGAAGTTGACCTGTGAAATTTCATGGATTACTTGAACTAAAGTTGTGTTTGTGTATGTGGTTGTATATTTGTAGCGTCAATTATAAACAATTTCGTATAGAAAATACTTAATTGCAGTTCTAATTTACTCAAGTTGGACCACTATCCACCCCTTGTAGGGTTTAGATGAAAACTTTTGATAGAAGTCCAGTACTCAGAGAACGCTAGTGGAGAAATGGTGAATCGATGACGGCTTATATAATCTATGATCATTTGCCTTTAAATATATTTTTTATTGATCAAGTTTATAAATAATATATTCTCTGAATGATTTTGATAAAATAATCAGTTATTATTTTTTTACAATGTAATTGAGAGTATTTCTCACTTAAGAAGAATAATCTGAAGTCCTTCCTTGTACGTCGTTTAGCAACACTCATGTGACGCGACAACTGTAATGGTTTTCTTCCACTGAAAGAAGTCGAATGTACTTGAAAAAGTATTTGTGCGGGGAGTTTTTCTTCATTACTTATTTCTGAAGAAAACTTCAGTCGAAAATCATCATATTTTAGTGAAAGTTTATGGTGAACTTGCTATAGCTGAGCAAACGTGGCAAAAGTGTAAAGTAAAAAATCGCTGAATCTGTGGTAAACAATGAACCAAAAAAATAAGATGACATTTGAATTGAAGACGTTGAACTAAGATTTTTTTGCCAGAACTACAAAAAGAAGCTGTTTTAGGATCGGATTGGGACTAGTAATTAAAAATAGATCTACAATGCACTAAATCATTTGTCAAACTTGACATACCAACCAAATTAGTGACAAAGCCTAATTTAGCTGAAGCCAAGTTAATGCTTATTGATGGGATGCGAAGAGCGTTCTGTATTGTGAGCTTCTAAAATCTAGAAAAATCATTGCTTGGCAACACTTAACTGAACTTAAAGCGATTGATTGCCGAAAAACAGATAGAATTAGCGACTTCTTCTTTATTGACACTAATAATTGTCCTTTATAACAACGCTTAGTCTCATGTTGCAATAACGGTTAAAAGTTATTTGAAACACAGCGGCTGAAAAGTTTTGCTTCCCCGCTTAATAGGCCAGATCCTTCTGACCATCCTGTTCTCTGACTGATGAAATACGGTTAACATCAGAAGAGGGTATCAATAATTGGATTGATATATTCTTGGCTGCCAAACCGGCGCAGTTATTAAGGTAATAAATCCCAAACACCCCAAAAAGATGGAAAATATAGTTTCAGAAGAACAGTTTTAAGGTTATAGTTATCCGATTTAAACAATTTCTTTGGAGACTATATTATTACTTTAGGCAATATCTCTTACCAAATTTACTGAAGATATTTGGTCGAATGAAAAAATTAAACATAC